TAAAATACTTTTGTACATTTTAAATGTGACCACTGTAGTGGAGGGGAGGCAGAAAGTGCCATTAAAATTTGTGGATATGCAGTTTAATTTAAAATCAGCTATTTCCCCTTTTTCTTTGCAAACCATAAGTTAAAAAGTTGTTTTCTTGAGAACCAAAGCAATAATATGCACACATTTTTAATTTATTGAAACGGAATCTTTCAGAAGAGCAAAGATGTTTTAAATTGCATCCTAAAATCAGCTTGAAAACAAGTTTCAACTTGGGAAGGGAAACAGTTCTTCCATCACAAAGTTGCAACCTAATGTTTGAAATACACATTTGGTTCCAGGACTCAGGGTCTGTGCTGAGTTAGCTGACTTCAGACAGAGGAGGAATAGGCATGTTATTTATACAACAAAAAAAAAGTTAAACTCAGTGCTTTTGGGCAAGGCAGTAGAAGAGACAAAATTAGTATGGATTACCGTTTCTTCCTGCTGTACAGTGACTTTGCTGGGAAATGTGTAGGTGTGGGCTTTGCTTAGAGGCTGGAAGAGGCTCAATTTTGATGCCATCAGTCTAGGCTAGCACATGAAATACAGCTGCCAGGGAGAGATATTGGAGGATCAGAACCAGTAAAACTTTATCCCAGCAAAGGCCAGACAGTGCCTTTGGGAGAGAAAGGAGAACAACAGAAAATAAAAAAAATGGTTCTGTTCATTAAAGTTGTGATGAGTTTATTAGGCAGTAAAATAGTCACAGATACAGACGGGACTAAAGGGTAAAAATGCTGAAAAGTAATTAAAACAGTGAATGACTGAAAACTGATCAAAACAGTCACCAAGGGCAATCTCCATTTAAAGGTAATCAATTTCTACACAATTTTCACACATTGACAATTTGTACCATTAATCTAGAAGAAAACAGAACATCTGTTTGGATTTCTTTTCCACTAAAATGTAAAAGCAGATTGTCTATTTAAAGTGAGCAATACAAGAAGTACTAAAAGCTAACAGTGGCTTAACAATGGGGAAATTACCCTGTGTGTTATACGTAGCAAAGTTGTAAATATGTGTTTATAATTTTGCTAGATATGGCACATGGAGGAAATTGTTCCCTAGAATATTTGAAAGAACAGTATTACTACAGTGTGTAGCACTCTATATACATAGAATTCATTACTGTCACATAAAAGTAAAGTATTGAGAATGGTAGAGGTCTGAAATAAAAATAGAATGTGCTGGAGAAAATCAATAGGTCTGGCAACATCTGTGGAGAGAAAATCAAGGACCTGTCTGTCTTCGAGTTCATATCGGACTTGAAACGTTAACTTTGTTTCTCTCTCCACATATGCTAGCAGATCTTCTGAGTATTTCCAGCACTTTCTCTTTTCTATTTCATTACTGTTACACTCTGGCTCTTTGCGAAACATCAAGAGTATGAGCCAAATTAACAACTAAACAAGTGCCCACTGTCAGGTGAGTTTCAGATTTGATATTGTAAGTATTAGCCCACTCCTTCCCTCTCCCCCAAGCGTGATGTGAAATTTGCGTTAAAAAGACTTGCACTTATTTTGCGCCTAATCACAGCTTGCAGGAATGCTCCAAAGCACTCAGATATCCAAAATTATTGAAATGCTATGATTGTTGCTATGGAGGCAAATGCAGCAGCCAATTTGCGCACAGCATGATTGCAAAAGCAGCATATAAATCAGAGCAGTTAATGTGTTTTTGGTGGTTTGTTGCGAATGGGGGTGGGGGGGTAGTTGCCATTGACCAGGACAAACTGTGCTATTGAATCTTTCCTGTCCACCTGTACTACTAGAAGAGATAAAGTCAACTTTAATCAAAGTCTTATCTGATAATGCAGCACTCTCTCAGTACTGCATTGGGATGTTAGTCAGAAATGGAGGATCTGAACCTGCAATTTTTTTGCTCAAAGATAAATTACCGAGCAAATCAAGTAAACACCCAGACTGCATTTTGCATATGTTTACAGACTTTTTGATTTTACCATATGTGTGGCCAACACAGTAGTTCAATTTTAACTGCTAGGAATTTGGACAAAATGCTTTGTCTCATCTGTTGAAACACAGTCATTAACAATCTATGGGAATATACTTTTTCCATCAAAAGGCATGCAAGCATTAATGCAGAAGATCTCAATGCCCAGTCATTTGGTTACGATATAGGAACTATGGTAGGTGACATGAGACCTTAATGCTCACCACTGCAAATTTCTCCTACAGTCTTTAAAATCCAAGTTTGGTATCATCCAAACCCTATTTCTTAACTTATCCAGTCTCCTATCCCATTCGTTTCAAGCTAGGCAGTCTCCTGCATTGCGATTCTTGGCTCTTTCCCTACGTTTCAGAATCAAAAAAACAAACTCTTGAGATATTGACTTAGACCTTACAGATACAGTAAACTCTCCCACCATTCCAGCAGTGTCTAACTATTAAATCACTATGACCTAGTAATTTGACAGCTAAAAGCTTGTGCACCGACAGTGTAATAAGACTGAAGAGGCATTATTAAGATAACTAGGAATTGTACATTGTACTGAAGTTGCAGCACTTTCTATGGATCACTTCTTTCTTTTGAATTTAAATTCTCAATTTTCTCTTACCCCTTCTAGCCTCACATTCCATGCACTTTTACTGAGACATGTAGTCAACTGTGAACCACCTGCCAATGCCACTCTGAAATCTGCCATTACCAGGCACTTGAGCAAATTGCCTAATGATTCCTGATGCAATCTTCCCTGTGGTGAAACATCTGGTCTCCAATCAGCAGCTGATTTTGTGGGACTGCACATTAGTGGTCTATTTAAAAAAAAGCTTTTTAAAAACAACTTATTTCACTTATTTGCCAAACCCCCCCACCCCTGTCACTATCTCCTTTCATTACCTTCCTGTCAGACAGTGCTTCTTTTGTTGAAACAGCAGGATTGTTTGAGCTGCAGATTTTTCTTTTGATTGCAACAGTGCTGTTTTATTTCAGCACAAGCCTCTCTCTTTTTTTAAAAATTGTTTTTGTTCAACAGCGCATTGTACTAAAATTGGAGGTCCAGTTTCAAATAAAACTGCAGACAAGCCAATACAGGTTGTTGGCTTCATGCTATCATGGCAGAATATGACGTGGTTATGCAAGGTTAAAGGTTTTGTGCACAATACAGCATGAATAAAGCTTCAATCAGCCAAAAGAATGTAAATGGAACTTTTTACGGTGGACAATTGAGAAATCTGCCACTCCAGTGACTACTTTCTCATTCCCCAAAATAAGAATTGTATACAACTATTTCTTGTTTGGATCGTCAGAGGATAGCATGAAAGAATGTTCTGTAGGTCTTCATGTTTCTCTAAATACTGTAATATCAGATATTACACACAAATTTCCTTTACAAATTTAAATACAAGTGCACATCTGGGGGAATAAAAGGAACAATCAGTACTTATAGGACCACCATTTAAACAGTTGGAAAATAAAACTGACAACATTTTCGTTATGTCAAATATAAAACATTTGGAGCTGAAAATTGGCCTCCATAACTTACTGCAGATTCATGACTCCAGCACATCACGGTAATGCTTTGTGTAAACAACCTTCAATTCTTTCAAAGAATTGTAAATCAGTCGGTGGAACAGAAACCTTAAATCAACTCCATGTTCCTATGGTGCTCTTGACACTTTAGATATGACCTGGGATGAACAGTCCAGGAAATGGGCTTTAAAACATCAAACAGCTCTTACATCGAAGAACAGCAGTTTCAATCTCTTGGTCAGAAGGCTTTGGGACAATTGATATAAATCAACCGTGGTAAATTAGTATGTGCTTTCCATGAATTGCACCTCCTGGTCACCAAATTCTGCAACAGAATGGGATGGGAGTTGGCGAGGGTGGGAAAGTCTGGAGGCTGCAGTAGCTGCCCTTTGAGAATGAGAAGATGTGGATACACAGTGCTTCAAAAGCTTCGGTTTAATGTGGAAACCTTGACTCAGTCCTTTCGAGACTGGCACTGATACTTTTCCTGCTGAGACTAGGCGTCATACTGCAGCCATCACTGGGACAACCATGTTGCAACAGAACATCCATGCACTCCTGGCCACCTGCTCGCCGGGCGTGGTACAGAGCTGTGTTTCCATTCACGTCTCTGGCCTTCACATCAATGCCATACTGTAGAGCACAGAAAACCAAGAAGTGTGTGTTACTAAAAGACACAATTTCCCCCTTTGTTCTCAAATGCATCCTTTCACTTGTTCATCACCCAAAATTCAAGCTCCTGCAACAAAACCCACATTTCCTCTGTTAAGATGAACAGTCAAATCTCAGTCGACAGTTTGATTAAATTGATCATACTACATGTGGTGATTGTAACAAGGTCAGCCAAGTGGACCTCGTAGAATGAGTTCCCTGATTGGACCAGATTAACAGCCCAATCAGGGAGCTCTGGCTGACAGAAATAAACAGGAGCGTCAGAGGATCTGTTCACTCTGAGAGCTGGCTCTGAGGGAGCTGGATCAGTATCAAGGACTCTCCATGTGTGAATAAAGAGTGACTAGCCTCCGTGGAGTTATTTCACTGTGCACTTTTATATTGGCACTGTATTGGGAGAATGTGGCCTTTAGTTCCTGAATGAGGAGCCAGGAAATGTGCCTGGTCCTCTGATTTTATGTAGCTTCTCAGACAGCACATGTGGGGCCTGGTTCCCCCACCACTTACACTACTAAAACTCATTGCTTTATACAGACAACAGAACTAGAGACTCACATTTTCTACGGTTTACAGCGGTCTTGAGATAAAGCAGCTGGGTTTGTTCATATTACAAAGTATATTAGGTGATGGAGAAAAAAAGTGCACCTCCTTCCATTGGCTGCACTTAATGTCAAAGCACTGGATGAGAAAGAACAAGAGCTGTATCTCTGTGGATGAAGCACTCTTCCTCACTGGTTGCCTCCCTTTTCTGACTTAGTCAAGATCAGGAACAGGAGGATAAATTGTGCCCTTGAGGGCAGCAATCTACAATGGGTGAGTTTATTTGGGCATACACCCATTTGCCATGATATTCCGCGCAGGAAACCATTTCCATTGACAGAAAGATCAATAACTGGGGGGGCTTGGATTTAAGATAATTGAAATTTCAACAAAAATATGAGAATATTTTTTATGCAGCAAGTTAAGAGGATCTGAAAGGAACCCGATTCAATCATAACTTGATTATAACTTTCAAAAGAGAATCAGATGAAATCGAGAAGAGGAAAAAATTATGGGGAAAGAACAGAGAACTTTCAAAATCAGCACAGGAAAAAAAAAATGGGCTGAATGACCTTCTTCAGTGTTATATGATTCTTGAGGAGCTTGCACTTGACATTGAGAATGTGTGAGAACAGTTAAAGTGTTGGGATCAGAAAAACAAAACATTCTTGTTCGTCTGAGGAGTTGCTCACCCTTTAATCACTGAGAGGAATAATTTTAGAGTACTATCATAGCTGAATCATGCAGACTTCAATTTCTAATTTTGTCCATTGAAATTGTCTTGCTAAGTGTCCAATAAAGCAGACATTTAAATTTCAGTTGAACCAAAAGTAATTTGATGTTGTGCAGCTCATTCTACCAAAGTGCACTGAGCAAATCACTCTTCAATCCTGTAATTTTGTTTGGAAGTGGTTGACAATTAGATCTTGTCATAGCTAATCCCAGCAGCAAGTGTGATGCAATACAGATGCTCCAAAGAATGTTAAGAATATTTAAGTTATTTCATTAAATGGAACAGAATTTCTCCTGCCATAAGATATAGGCCATTCAGCCCATTCAATGAGATCATGGTTGATCTGATCATCCTCAGATCCTGCCTTTTCCCAGTAACCCTTGATTCCCTTGCTGATTAAAAATTGTCTCTCAGCTTTGAACATACTTAATGACTCAGCCTCAATAGCCCTGTCCAGTAAAGATTTTAGCAGATCCACTACCCTGTGAGAGAAGAAATTCCTCTTCATCTACTTTAAATTGGCAATCCTTTAATCGAAGGTTATTCCTTCAAGTCCTACGCTCTCCAACAAGGGGAAACAACCTCTCCCCATCTACTCTGTCAAATCCCCCAACGATCTTGTATGTTTCAATAAGGTTGCTACTCATTCTTCTGAACTCCAATGAGTACAGGCCCAATCTACTCAACTTCTCCTCATTATGAAAATCCCTCCATACATAACTTTGGGAACCTTCTCTGGCCTGCCTCCAATACAAATATATATTACCTTAGATAAGGGGACCAAAGTGTTCACAGTATTCCAGCTGTGGTCTGGCTAGTGCATTGCATAGTTTCAGCAAGACTTCTGTTCTTTTATACTCCATCCTTTTTAAACCAATGGCCAACATTGCATTTGCCTTCTCTATTACCTGCTGATCTTGAATACTAGCTTTTTATGATTTATACATAAAAATCTTCAAATCCCTCTATCCTTGTAGATTTCTGCAGTCTTTTCCCATTTAAATAATATTCTGCTCTTCTATTTCTGCCAAAATACATAACTTCATATTTTCCCACGTTATATTCCATCTGCCAAGTTTTTGCCCATTTAACCTGTCTATGCCTCTCTGCAGACTCTGTGTTGTCCTCACTATTTGTCTTCCCATGTCTTTTTGTGTCATTCACAAACTTTGGCTACAGTATATTCATCTCCATGATCCAAGTTATTAACATATATTGTAAATAACTGTGGCCCCAGCACTGATGCCTGTGGCACTCTACTAGTTATGGGTTGCCATCCTGAAAATGCCCTCTTTATCCCAACTCTGTCTTCTATTAGTCAGTCAATCCTCTATCCAAGCTAATATACCATCCCCAATACCACAGGCTCTTATTTATTAAATAGCCTAATGTGCAGTACTTAATCAAATGGCTTTTGGAAATATTACATCTACTGGTTCCACCTTATCTCAGTTTATTTTCTCCTTCTTTTTGTTTTTCGGTCATCCTCTGTTGGCTTTTAAAACTTTCCCCATTCCTCTGGTTTATCCTTAATCTTTGCCACACTTTATGTTGTTTCTTTTGATTTGATGTTATCTTTAAATTCCCTGGTTAACCATGGATGGTTATCCTCTTCCTAGAATCATTCTTCTCATTGGGATATATCTTTGTTGTGAGTAATTAATTATTTTCTTAAATGTCTTCCATTGTTCATCAACCGTCTTTTCTGCTGAATGCTTTTCTCAGTCCACTCCAGCCAACTCCACCCTAAATCATTTGTAATTATCCTTATTTATGTTTAGCACATTTGTTTCTGACCCGACTTTCTCATTCTCAGACAGAATGCTAAATTCTAACATGTTATGATCACCATTTCTTATTGGTTCTTTTACTTTGTGATCATTAATTAAACTTGCCTCGTTATACATTACCAGATCCAAAAAAACCTGATCCCAAGTTAGTTCTGCAACATATTGTCCTAGGAAACTGTCCCAAATACACTGTGTATATTGGGAAAATCAAATT